ATGACAACACTACAATTAAAAGTTCTCGTTATGTGGGGGAAATTTTATACTCGAAATGCCTGCTCCGAGTACATTTGGTCTATGCAAGTATGGAGAAAAGTTTCCCAGTACCGCATCGAACACAGATCATGTCCGTCGAGATGCAGTGGATGGTATGCGTTGCATTAGGGTATTTGTTCTACACTCAACTGGACTAAGGTTGCTGCCTTCGTCGTTAGCATCAGGGTGTGGGAACGTGAGACTTCCCTGTAACATCCTTGATATTAAAATATGCTACATTGCTGCCCAATGCCCTCAAGAATTCACTGTTCCAGCAGTTCAAATGTGATGATCTGCGCGACAACGTGAATAGCTGTGATCCATCATATACCTCATATTCGTTTGGTATTGGACAGTAAGAACATTCAACATGGTCTTTGTATTCCATTCTGGCCATGATCAAAGAGGCAAAGACAATGGCCCTGTAAGAATTAGAGGAGAATATGTCATCTTGCCTGATATCGTATTTATGATAGCAACTGTAATGGCTTATCCTGGCAATTATTAATTTTCCAAATCTCAGGTCACCTCCACTACCAACGTACGCAGGAGGAGGCCTTTATTGAATGAATCCAAAAAAATGTCGGAAATATCATCAAATTTTAGAATAAGTTTAGCTTTGTTCGAATTGGTTACCTTTGGTACGAATTGTGGCATTCAAACGGCCAATGGAACCGTCACACGCTGCTCGAATGTTGCTCTGCGGTATTTTGGCCCATTCCCGGCGAAGCGCTTGCCTGAGGTGATCGACACTTTGGTATTTTTTAGCGCCAACCTTGCTTTTCAAAATGCTGCAGACACAATAGTCCAACGGATTGGTATCCGGAGATTTTGATAACCATTCTGCGCTGGAAATGAAGCGAGGAACCTCATTTTGTAACCATACTTGGGTGGCGCGTGCTGAGTGCGATGGTGCTGAGTCCTGTTGGAATGTCCAAGGTCTGTGGCCAAAATGTTTGCGTGCCCTCCAGAATATTTTCGCGATAATATTCGATATTTATTCTGATGCCACGGTCGATTAATACGAGCGGAGTGCGACTATCGGCTGTTATGGCGGCCCACACCATCACCATGGCCGGCGCTTGAGTTCTGGTGGCCAACCGAAGTTGACATTTTCAGCTGTCCTCTTTTGCAAGTAAACACGATTATTTTGTTTGTTTACAAACTGCTGGACAATGAATGTTTTCTCATCGGAGAAAACCAAATTCGACAGTTCAGCACTTTCGGCCAAACGAAGCAACTCTTTACCTCTTTTGAGTCTATTTTCTTTCTGTTGCGGTGTAAGTTCTTGCACTCTATGCAATTTCAATGGCTTTACCCCGAGCCCATTTTTCAATATTTGCCGAATGGAATATTGCGGTATGTTCAGCTCAGGGGCCATTTTTCGGCCACTGCGACGTGGGTTTCGATCAAGTCGCTTCTTTACTTTTCGAACCATTTCTGCTGATGTTGCTGTTTTCTTCCGTCCACTTCCTTGATGTCGGGCTACGCTACCAGTATCACGGTAACGAGCGATGTTACGAGACACAAAAGATTTATTCACATTTAAATGCTGGAGTGCTCTAACGATAGCCACATGTGGTTTTCCAGCCAAATATCTTGAATCCCATTACGAATAACTTATTTTCTGGAAAAAAAATTGAATATTTTTTGTATTTTTGTATTTAATTTTTTTTAAATTAATACAAGATTTTATTTACATCGATGTCAATACTATTTTCGAAATACACAAAATATTAAATGGATGCATTTCAACCAGTTCGTATACATTTGCACCATTAACATCTTATGATGTGGAGAGAAGCTTTTCAGCATATAAAATGGTATTTTCGGAAAATTCACAAAAACTTACAATGAGTAGTTTTGAAAAAAAAAAATCATGGTAGGGTAAGTGTGCCTAAGTTCGACATGTCCCAGTAGTCGGCAGTTTTGAAATTTAAACTTAAATAACTAAGAATAGAATTGACCAAATTATGAAATAATTGCAAAAAACTTTAATAGTGTTCTCTGCTCTCTTTCTTTAAAAAAGAAAAAAATCACCTCCGATCATTTATTACGATCGAATAACGGTTTTCGTCAGTGAGTGTCTTCCAACGAGTGCGATAGTGATTGTTTGTAATCGATTTATGTAAATTAAATTTAATACTGTTGGAATCAGAAATATTTTATAATAGTAAATAACAGTCTAAAGATCACATTATAACTTGAAAACATACAAATCAAGCATTTTTCTGTTATATTATCTAATGCCGAAATTAGGAACAGAAAAAAAGAGAGTCGGCAGGGGGTGCCGATTACTAGAAAAATATCATTTTTGACCAATTTCACCAAAACTTAGAAAAGTATTAAAAAATAAACTACTCAAATATAAAAATATTTTTGAGTGGGCAGTTGATTTATTTCTGCTTTCTGACCAACTTTTCTAAATTAAGTAGGTTTTTTAAATCAGCTATTTGACTTTTTAGATAGCGGTGGCATTTTTGAAAAGAAATTTTGGCTATCTAAAGGGAAAAGATCAATTCACAAATTCCAAATATGAGAAAGGTGATTTTTTCTTTTTATACCCTCCACCATAGTATGGAAGGTATATATAGTTTGTCATTCCGTTTGTAACACCTCGAAATATATATTTTAGACCCCACAAAGTATATATATTCTTGATCAGCATAAAATTCTATGTCGATTTATCAATGTCCGTCCGTCTATCCGTCTGTCCGTCTGTGTAAATCACTCTAGCTTCCCAACAAAATGAAGTAGGTTGATAAAATTTTACTCAAATGTGTACTATGTCTGCAGGACTTTTGGTATTGAAAATGGGCCATGTAGGTCCACGTCTTCGATATTCCGTATTTTGATGATTTTAGCGTCATTATTTACCGGAATTGTTTCAAATTTGGTATTTGAAATAAAAATGGGCCATGTAGGTCGACGTCTTTGTATAACCAACATGTAACGATACCCCCGATATTCGGTATTTTGATGATTTTAGCGGCATTATTTACCGGAATTGTTTCACATTTTGCATTTGAAGTTCATAATGGATGCTACAGCCTATCACAGAAAGTTGTCTGTGCAGGTCCACACCTTCGTATAGCCCCCATATAACGGTACCCCCCCCCCCTATCTTCGGTATTTTCATGATTGTAGCGACATTATTTACCGGAATTGTTTCAAATTTCGCATTTGAAGTTCGTGAAGCTCGATATCACAGCCTATGACAGAAAATTGCCTGTGCATTATAAACAGATTTTTTCAAGTTTCGCATTTGAATATTGTAATAGCTCGTGACAAAAGTTGCCTATGCAGGTCCACATCGCACTATGTCGCGAGTTCATACAAACGGCGGCCAAAAATAGAAAGAGTTGTCGTAGGTGGATGAAATTTTGTACAGATGCTTATTATTGGGCTAAAAAGCAAATTACAAAATTTGGATAGATTGGACCAAAATTCGGTATACCTCCCATATATAGGGTCTTCCAAATTTCACTCTTTTAGCCTATAAAATCGTTAATATTCAACCAAATTTGATGAAAATTGGCATGTAACTTCTAATTGGGCCTATAAAACAGTTGACAAAAAATTGGATTGATCGGACCATGATTTGGTATACCTCCCATACAATGGGTCTTGAAAAATTCTCTCTTTTGGGATATAAAAACGAATGTATTAACCCAAATTCGACGAAAATCTGCAGTTTACTTCTAATTTGGGCTATAAAACAAGTGACAAAAAATTGAATTGATCGGACCATGATTTGGTATACCTCCCATACAATGGGGCTTGAAAATTTCGATTTGTTGGCCTATGAAATCGTTTGTATTCAACCATATTAAATGAATATTTGCAGTTTACTTCTTATTTAGTGAAATATTAAAATTGTCTGTAGGTTTACGTTTCAGAGTATTTTATATTACAAAACCCTCTTTTCAATAAAACACGTTTTATTCGTATTTAATTTTTATTAATAACATAAGCTTTGAAATACACACTGCAATCATCAGATTCATCTTCTGAACATATTTCCGGAATATTTAAGTTATTTTCTTCACAAATATATGATTTAATGTCTTCCATGTTATAATTTCGGGCCAATATATTATGACTGTTCAAGGATATTACAGGGTCCGATTGTAGTATCAAATACTGAATTAAATCCCTATTTGACTCGACTCTACCACATTTTCGGGTGTGTTTCAAACGGTTGCTCCTAATTATTTTATGGCATGACTCGATAGCCTCTTCCGAAAGCAGTCCAAGAGGGGATGTACTGTACCTTACATATCCAATGCCATGAACTAAAATTTTATGCACCGTGACTGGCATGTAATACCAAGAGTATAAGTCGATGTAAAGTTGCCATGTATCTTGAAGAAGCTTATGAAATAAATTTATATTTATAAATCTCCCACAAGACAAAATCCGCAAAATGAGGGAAAAATTGTAAATTAATCTTCTGTCGACCCCGGTAATATCTGCCGCTACTTCAATGTTTGAAAAAAAAACGTCGGGCTGTATTTCCATCATTTGATGTCCCGTAGCCCGGTTTTATTTTGTCGACAAGAAGACCTAGATTTGTTTTTAATGCTCTTCGTATCCTGATTTTATTTTCATTCACTAATATTGTGTTTCTACTATCAATTCGCCATGTCTTGACAGGTAGTTTATATGCAATATGAACAATGCACTCAAAAAACTTAATCCAGGCGTGTAAACTAGATATACCGTTCCTATAACACTCTTCGTTGACTTCTCTTTGGTATATAGATTCATCATTCATTTGTGAAGGCTTGGCGCCACATAAAACACAGGTTGCACAACTTTTATTGCCATACAATACATTTAATACAGCTCCGTCAATCATTGTTAGTTTAATGCGATGAGAAATCATAATTTCATAACTGTTATCAATGTATACACAAGCATCCAAATCTGCTATTTCTTTCTCCATGTTTTCTTTGACTTCATTTATAGTCTGTGAATTTTCCTTTGTAAAAAGTATTTTAATAGGTCTACATAGCCTTGAAGATGAGTGCCTGTCGTTCTGCCACAAGACATTTTCGTTTGTATCATCTAAAATACGCAAGGGCACAAATGAAGAAACGAACATAAATTCATCTGTTGCGTCTTCGTTTCGAAATTTTTGTCCGTTTCCTTTACATTCGAAAATCTTTTTGCAGCTGTTGTTATGATGTCCGCCGAAGTAGATGCAACAAGTTCACCTACACGTCGCCTTTTTGTTCTACATGAACTTTCCTCAAAGTTAATGCGTGGTCGACCTCTTGATGTAGACTTATCAGGTTCCTAAATATTTAAAAGTTTTTAAATAATTGGTTTAATAAAAATAATCTTCAAATGTACCGAATCAAATTTAAACGTATCCATAAGAAACCAATCTTTTAAGACCATTTCTACTTTATCCCTCTTACGATAGTATTTTTTCCACGTAGAAGACAATTTGTAGCAAATATTTTTAACCTTTATGTGTTCTTCGCCCGTCATTTTCCTTCCAATTCGATCCTCAATAAATTCTTTAAGTTTTGCCAGAACATATGACATACTTTGATCCTTTACTTCTAACCATTCCAAAAATATGTCACAGTTTTTTAAAGAGGTGGTCACTAAAAAAAGCAAATAACTCTTAGGACCGCAGGTTTCCGCAGCTAATTTTTTTATAGGTTAAAAATACATACTTTTCACAACTAAAATCAACAAAAATGTAGACTAAACTTTTTTAACCTTTTTTTTCTACTCCACTAATTTCAAGATTTGCTTTACAAAATAGATGAACTAAGTACAACAGGTGTTTGTAACTGTAAACACCATATGATCACTATTTACACCCAAACAAAGGTGAAGCCAAGTTTTTGACATCCCAAGTAACTAAAATAAACACTTTTTTTATAACCGTTACTTTTAATATTCAAATTTTTGAACATATGAAAAAAGTGTCAATTTTCCGAAAAAAATAGAAAAATGCCGATTGCCAAAAACTATCAGATTTGAACCCTCGTACAGGCAAAACTACTTGACGTATCACTACCAAAATTCATATTATTCCTAACTGGAATGTTTTCTATCAATTCTCATCAATAAATTTGTGCTCTTATGTACTTGGTTTTTACCATTTTTGGCCGCGGTCGTGACACTGTGCATCGTCGTATAGACTCTAATATATGGCTACATTAGGTATTTTCAAGATTTTAACAGATTTTTAAGGGATTTTATTTTTTTGAATATTGTTAAATTTGTACCAAATGGTGGAGGGTATTCAAAGTTCGGCCCGGCCGAACTTACAGCTTTTTTACTTGTTTCTATTAAATCTAATTTTTATTTTAACTGAAAATTCACACGTTACTGAAGGTAACCATACTATTCTGGATTTTCTACCTGTATTTGGTTTAGAATGATAATTAAATAAAACGCTATTTAAAAACGAAATTAATTTCAAATTTTGGATTAAACTGTGAATTAGTAATATAACATTGTTTCATTCTATTTGAAATAAAAATAATATTTTTTACTGAAATACCATATGCCGACTACTGGCTAATAGATATGCCGAGCATTGGAAAATGGTGCCGACTACTGGCAAAAAACTACAATTTTAGTAAAATTGCATATTTTGCCAATTTAATAAAAACAAATTCAATTTTTGTTTATTATTTCGAAAACTAAACAAAATTTGGAATCTGAACAACTTTATTTTTTAGCAATTGAAAGATTTCACTCAGAATGTTGAAAGATTGAAAAATCGAAAATCCTAAAAGTGCCGACTGCTGGTACACTTACCCTAGTGTTAGTTTTATTATGTATTTACGAAAAGGGATGATAGGAAATATATAGAAAAATAGGTTTTGCATATATTGCACAAAATTAGAAAGTATGTTTGTCTCTTTTGATTCTACCTACCTTCCTACTACTTACAATAAAACCGACTTTAGTCCAATTAATTTCTAAATGTACCAGGCGCACAGAAACAAATAGTGTATAGCAAGACTGCATTTTCTTTGCATAGACGGGCGTCACCTGTTTTGTTTTTGCATTTACTTCTATCTTGACACGTGCACGTAAATAAAAACAAAGATCTTCGTACGATCTCACACGATTGATGCTTCGTTGTCTTATTATAACATTACTTGAATTTTGAGCGTGTGTCGTTTCTTTCTACCCATACAGAGATGATGATATGTGTGTGACCACCAAAGATTAATAATAATAATATTTCAAGTGAAATTGAAATTAGAAAGGAAGAATTTTTGTCCACTTTCTGCTACGTCTTAGAGCCTGATATTTGCAGTCCAAGGCACACAGAAATAAAGTAAGTATACTGTTTTGTTGTCTACTACCTACCACAAACCATCCTTCTAAGTTGTGGTATTTCAAATCCTAACACAAAATGTACTGTAGTTGTGCATGCGTTTTTAATTTTTAGGTTCATCCGGCAAGCGGAAAGAATGGAGGCATACTGTTTAATAAACAAGTAAAAGAACATTAAGTTCGGCCGGGCCAAACTTTTAATACCCTCCACCTTAGGGTAAAGGACAAATTAGAAGAAATGTGGCAAAAACCATCAAAATACCGAATATCGGAGGGTACCGTTATATGGAGACTATACCAAATCATGGACCTACACATGCAAGGTTTCTCCAACAATACTAGAACCCATTATGACCTACAAATACCAATTTTCAGACAAATACGTGAAAAAAATGTGGCAAAAATCATCAAATTACCGAATATCGGGAGATACCGTTATATGGGGGCTATACCAAACCGTGGACCTATAAACACAATGTTTCGCCACACGAACTAGGACCCATTATAACTCACAAATACCAATTTTTAGACAAATCCTGCTTTACGTTATTTTAGAAGCTCACTCTCACTTCTTTTTAATTTCTGCGAATATTTTATAAATTTAAGTTTTTCTATTCAAATCCCAGGTGCTCAGAAAGTAAAAATACTGTATTTAATCACATTCTTCTTTTTAAAAGTCTTACAAAATGTTGGGCGCACAGAGAAAAGTTTTCCATATGGCCTGTAAAATTACATTCTAGGCGCACAGGAATAAAGTAAGTATCCCTTTGACACAATAAATTAGAGCCTGACATACTTAATTCTTATCACAAGGAAAGAGGTGCCTGGGTTGCAATGTAAGTTTTCACTTGCTGTTGATTCTGGGAACCTGTTAGAAAATTACAAAAGAAATTTAAGTATTCACCATTCTGATATAGTGTATACGTATGTCGTATTTTCTTTCCACTACTACTTCTTAGACTAGATTTCCAGATGCATCAGGCGCACATGATGTGTAGTACGTTTGTCGAAATAATTGATTATTTTTACAGCTGGATATTCGAAAGTAGGGGCATAGAAAATAATAATAAAATACTTTTGTAAAAAAATAGAGTTTTCCTTGGAATTTGAAACGCCAAATACTAGGGGAACAGAAAGAAAGTAGGTTATTTAAAATATATGAAATTCAGCTTATTTTATTAAATTTTTGGAGTCTGCTGATCAAAATTCCAGGCTAACAGAAATAAAGCAAGTATTAGGCGCACATAAAGAAAATAAATAAACGGTTTTTGCAATTTTTTTTTCTTTCCGCACCGCCTGATATTTTATTTTTAGTGTGCAACAGGCCCTCAGAAAAATAGTAAGTAGTGGCTTGAAAATGAACGTTTTCACGTTCTGATACTTCTTAGCGCCCGACATTTTTTTTCAATTACATCCTTTTTGTGCCTCCTGGTAATGAAAATATTAGGCGCTAACAAGTTGTTGGAGGTGAAAATTGTTATTTCAAAAAAAACTAGCCTGGCTTTCTGTGCGCCTGGTGCGGCCTAGAAATTAGGTAGTGTAAAGTGAAAAACTCTCAAGAATATTTTTAATTTCTTCCTATTTTCTTTCATTTTCTTATATTCCTTAGAGCCTGGTACTTTGTTAATTAATTCCTTTAATGCCCCATGGGAATGAAGTTGAAGGAGGTGAAAACTGTAATTTTAAAAATGATAGCCTTGATTTATGTGCGCCTGGTGCGCCCTAGTAATGAGCCCTTAGGTGTTCCATAGAACTGAAGTTGAAGGAGGTGAAAACTGTAATTTTAAAAAAGGTAGCCTTGATTTCTGTGCGCCTGGTGCGCCCTAGTAATGAGCCCTTAGAGCCTGGTACTTTGTCAGTTACATAATTTCGTGTTCCATGGAAATGAAGTTGAAGGGGGTGAAAACTGTAATTTTAAATTATTAAATTATTAAATTAGGGCGCCTGGTGCGCCCTAGTAATGAAATAGCGAAATGTGAACTTTCTTAAATTTATCCACGGGCAAATAAGAAAATAATGACAATAATAGGCGCCAAGAAGCTGCGGAAAGCGATAAACTTCATTGTAAAAAATTCTTTGCTCCAATGCTTTCTGCGCGCCTGGTATGACATTTTGTAAGACGACATTTTTCATAGAATCTAAAATTCTAGGCGCACTGGACATGTTCCACGTTCTCCTACTACTTAATAGTAAACCCTGATCAATTTGTTGGTGCATAGAAAAACGTTTCCATTTCCCGCTGCTAATTTTCAATAAAAACTTCAAAAAATATTTTTGAAAAAATATATACAGTTTTTATTTGAAATTGGGTTGGTTGTTTGTTGTCTTCTCTTAATAATTTTACAGAATTCTTTATTTCACATACGTATAGATAGAAGTTATTTATATTTAAAATTTTTATATATAAAATATATCCAATAATAAAAAATATACATTTGTGTTGTTGTGTGTAAGCTTAATTTTTGCGTCTTCGTCCCGCTAGACATCATTCATATACAGATATATAAATATTGTTATGGCTTAAAATTAAAAAAAAAATACATATGTATATATAAAAGAAAAAACAATTTTTAACTACAATAAAAATTCAATAGAAATTTTAAAAACGGTCGTTTTTCAAACAGGCATTCAGGGTTTGGGTTATGTTTTTTAAAAACTTCATAAAAAGCTAAATATATATAGTTGTTTTATTCATTCCAATGTTAAGGTTAGTTTCATAAAAGTTATAGAATAAAATTTTTAAATGTCTTAATTTTATCATTTACAAAATTCTACTCATTATCAAATCCAGAAAAAAATCATTCAAAATTAAAAAAGAAAAATGTTCACATTTTTTTTTGTTTTTGAAAAAAAAATAGTTTGGAAATTGTGTGCCTTTGAGCTTAATACTACAATTTTATATATACGATATTTGTTTGTTTTTTTTTTTAAATAAGATTTATTATTAATTTAATTAATAATAGAATATTGTTAATTATGTTTTTGTTTTCACTTCTATTTTGTTTGTTTCTATTTTGTTTCATAAAAAATGGCCACTGATGTCTTGAATTGATTTGTTGATTTGTATTTCTTTTTTTTCTCCTAAAATTTAAAATATTTTCGCTAGACTGGGGGTACGTCGAAAGGGATTCCATGAACTCGATGAAATACTACCCAGCAGGGGTTTAGACGTAGACTTGCAACGTATTTTCGGTTTGGTAGTTGTTCCCGTGGGACTGGAAGAGCCTGAAGAGACACCGGAAGAGCTGGCCGCAGACAAGGTGGAAATTGAACCCTTGGATGATAGTGGCTGCGAAGGGAGGAAAATGAGAAAGAAATTAATAATTTTTATATATTTTGACAATTTTTAAAGGATAATCGCGGATTTAAAAATTTAAAAAAAACTAATAAAATAAAATTGCAGATATTAAAAAAAATCTATATCAAATCATCAGGGGTTTTAAAAATATTTTTTAAGTAGATTGTCCCAAAAGAAACATATTTTCTTTGAATTCTTAAAAATACAGAGTGAGATGAAAAACCTGTAATCAACTTCAGACTGCTGTCATTTCTAAGCCACTCGCCCGACAGCTGTTAAAATTATTCCAGTGACAGCTCATTATATTGTTTACAAGCGTACAAAAGCATTTTGGTGAGAATTTCCCAGAAAAAAATTATTCGTGATGGAAATTAAGCGTGATGGTGCGATTTCTTTATATTTGTCCGGAAAACCACAAGTGGCTATCGTTAGAGCACTCCAGCCAGCATTTAAATGTGAATAAATCTTTTGTGTCTCGTACCATTGCTCGTTACCGTGATAATGGTAGCGTAGCCCGATGTCAAGGAAGTAGACGGCAGAAAACAGCAACATCAGCAGAAAAGGTTCGAAAAGTAAAAAAGTGACTTGATCAAAACCAACGTCGCAGTGGCCGAAAAATGGCTCGTAAGCTGAACATATCGCAATATTCCATTCGGCAAATATTGAAAAATGGGCTCGGAGTAAAGCCATTGAAATTCCAAAAAGTGCAACAGAAAGAAAATAGACTCAAAAGAGCTAAAGAGTTGCTTCGCTTGGCCAAAAGTGGTGAACTGCCGAATTTGGTTTCCTCCGTCTCCGATGAGAAAACATTCGTTGTCCAACAGTTTTTAAACAAACAAAATGATCATGTTTACTTGCCAAAGCGGTCAGCTGAAAATGTGCACCTTCGGTTGGCCACCAGAACTCAAGAGCCGGCCATGGTGATAGTGTGCCGCCATAACAAGGTTGGCACTAAAAAAATACCAAAGCGTCGATCACCTCAAGCAAGCGCTTCGCCGGGAATGGGCCAAAATATCGCATAGCAACATTCGGACAGCGTGTGACTGTTTCATTGGCCGTTTGAAGCCCATAATTCGAGCCAAAGGTGACCAATTCGAACAAATCTAAACTTCTTCTAAAATTTGATGGTATTTCCGAAATTTTTTCCTGGAGGGTGTATTAAAGTCTTGGGCACGCAAACATTTTGGCCGCAGATCTTGGACATTCCAACAGGACTCAGCACCATCGCACTCAGCACGGGTCACCCAAGAATGTTAACAAAATGAAATTCCTCGCTTCATTTCCAGCGCACAATGGCCACCAAAATCTCCGGATCCCAATCCGTTGGACTATTGTGTCTGGAGTATTTTGGAAAGGTTGGCAGCAAAAAATACCAATGTGTCGAACCCGTCAAGCAAGCGCTTTGCCGGGAAAGGGCAACATTCGGTCAGCGTGTGACGGTTTCATTGGCCGTTTAAGGGCCATAATTCGAGCCAACGGTGACCAATTCGAACAAATCTAAACTTCTTCTATGATGGTATTTCCGACATTTTTTCCTTTATTCAATAATTTAAAAATAAAATAATTTAAAAATTAAAAAAAAAAAATTTCATCTCATCCTGTACTCATGTCAGACCCAGCAAAGTATTCATATTCTTGATCAGCGTAAAATTCTAAGTCGATTTAGTCCGACAATCTGTCCGTCTGCAACAGTCAGTAGATGGGTCATGTTCGAAAATGAGTCATGTCGGTCCACGTTTTCGTATAACCCTCATATAACGGTACCGCCAAATATTCGGTATTTTAGTGATTTTAGCGACATTTTGTACCGAAAATACTTCAAATTTCGTATTAGAAGATGTTACTATACTATATATAACCCATGACAAAAAATTACTTATGCAGATCCATGCCTTCGTATAGCCACCACTTAACGATATCTCCCGTAATTCGTTATTTTGAGAATTTTAAAAAGAGATATTTTCACCGGAATTGTTTCAAATTTCGTATTTGAAGTTCGTAATGGATACTACAACCTATGGCAGAAAATTGCATAAGCAGGTCCACTTCTTCGTATACCTCACATATAACGGTACCTCCCGTTTTTCGGTATTTTGATGATAGCGACATTATTCAATGGAATTGTTTAAAATTTTGTATTTGAAGCTCGGAATAAAAAAACAAAATAAAAAAATAAAAATAAAAAAAAATTTAAAAAAATAAAAAAAAAAAAAATAGAAAAATTAAGTGTGATGGATCACACCCTTCGTATATCCCTCTTAATTTGAGAGGTATTTCTCCACGGAATTTTTGTGAAATTGTTCAAGTTACTTCAAAATGGTGGGTATTCAAAGTTTGGCCCGACCGAACTTGGCTGCTTTTTATTTTTGTTTGTTTTTTTGTTTTTTTTTTTATATATTTTTTTTGACTATATGATGAGAAGATCTGTTAATTTGTGTCGATGCGGTTGGCCTTACCTTCAAATAATTCCTATCCATGGGTGTTATCACCTTCAGCTCCAATGTAGAACCACATGATTGTATTAGACGCACCACTTGTTGATGTAGATACCATTTGACATCGATGCCGGCAATTTCGACTATGAAATCACCCTCCTTAATGCCACCCAACTGGAAGTTGAAAACGAGCGCACCATTAAAATACATTCCTTAGATTCTAAAACTATACCCCCCCAACTTACATCTGCCAGTGAATTAATCTCCACATGGGCAATCATTACGGGAGCATCACCCTGTACATGGAAACCAAAACTTTCGATTTCCTCCTTATACAAACTGCAGCCCACTTCATGGCCATCAGCCGGCGATGGACAGTGGCAATGGTAGTGGGAGCCATCGTGATAGATCGCCGAACCCTTCTGCAGACGTACACAGCGTGGGGCGGTCCAATGACGTCGGGCAGAGAAAATGGCAATGGGTCCCAGGCGCTTGAAGGGATCTTCAACTTTGTACGATGTAAAATCGGGACCCGTCAAGGAGAGCGTGAATTTGGAGCAGGCTGGAAGACATTGAGAAATTTCAATAAATTTTATTTAAATATTTCAAAATTTGTTTTTGATACCCACCTTCAATTTGAACTTCTAACAAATCGTCGATTTCATTTTCTGGCATTTCCACGCTGAATTTTTCCAATTCATCTTGGGTTTTGTATTGGGCTTCCTTAATGACTTGTGTTAAAGATGTTTTATTCTAAAAAAATCAACAAAAAATGTATTTAAATTTTTGAATTTTTAATGTAAAATTAAATGATGCATCATCGCAACTCCCACTCCATTATGCCGCCATGCATAAATTCTTCAAACAAAGTCAAGGAAGATGTAGCTCCATATTTGGTATTTCACCTAGCCAAGATTTGTTTGATGTTACAACACCCAAACTTCTATTTGAAATGATGATACATTTGTGACAGCTGCACAGCATGCATCGTGGTTTGGTTCGTAAGTTGGGCTTAGATGTGTCAGAATATTTACAATTTGTGGACCACGCAAAACAAATGGAGGAGACATAGAGACAACAACTGCCGTGTACATTGCAAATGATTGCAACACTTGGAAATTTGTAAGTTGGTGGTATCAAGAGTTACAAAAAAAAAAAAAAAAAAACGTTTAGCAACTAATGATAAATATGGTCATGATGCTGTGGCCATAAATGGCCTGGCAGACAGAACAACAATGCACTCACTCATTGCCATCGGAAGCCCAGCATCACCTTCAGCATAATAACAACTTGTTTTGTTTCATTACATATAATTATTTCGCTTTTTTAGGAGGAGTTATTCAAATGTCTATAAAAATACCATGCAAAGGTCTCCTATAAATGGATACCTTTCCCTGGTCTTATATATCTTAAGAACCTCTCTAAGATCCTCTGCAAATAGAAGACCTATAATGGTGAAAGAACTTCGACTTTCATATGCGGGCGTCGTTGGAAATATTTTTAGAAAACTATTTTTTTATACCCTCCACCATACTATGGAGGGTATATTCATTTTGTCATTCCATTTGTAACTCCTCCAAATACAGCGTAAAATTCTAAGACGATTTAGCCATGTCCGTCTGTTTGTCTATGTGTCTGTCTGTCTGTCCGTCTGCCTGTCTGTTGTAATCACGCTATATTTCGAACGAATTGAGAGATAGAAGGATAAAATTTTGCACATATGTTTATTTTGCCAGTGGGCAGGTTAACTTCGTAAATGGGCTATGTAGGTCCAAGTTTTCATATAGCCCCCATATAACGGTACCTCCCGATATTCGGTTTTTTTTGATGATTTTAGCGACATAATTTACCGGAATTGTTACAAATTTGGCATTTGAAGTTTGTAATGGATGCTACAGCCTAAGACAGAAAATTATCTGTGCAGGTCCACGTCTTCCTGTAGCCCCCATATAACGGTACCCCCCAATATTCGGTTTTTTGATGATTTTAGCGACATTGTTTACCGGAATCGTTTCAAATTTGGTATTTGAAGTTCGTAATGGATACTTCATCCAAAGTCAAAGAATGAGCCATGTAGGTCCACGTCTTCATATAGCCCCCATATAACGGTACCCCCCGATATTCGGTATTTTAATGATTTTAGCGACGTTATTTACAGGGATTGTTTCAAATTTCGTATGTGAAGTTCGTAATGGATACTTCAGCCCATGCCAGAAAATTATCTGTGCAGGTCCACGTCTTCGTATAGCCCCCATATAACGGTACCCCCCATATTCGGTATTTTGACGATTTTAGCTACATTATAAACAGATTTTTCTTCAAGTTTCGCATTTAAATATTGTGATAACTTATGACAAAAGTTGCCTATGCAGGCCCACGTCGTCGTATAAGCATTCGGTATTTTTAAGATTTTAACAGAATTTTTAACGGGTTTTATTTTTTGGAAATTGCCAAATTTGTACCAAATGGTGGAGGGTATTAAAAGTTCGGCCCGGCCGAACTTAGAGCTTTTTTACTTGTTTTTAATATTATGGTAAATTTCAGGAGGCCCTTGAAAACTTATTTGAAAAATTCCACTACTTTCGACCAGGAGGTCTATGAAAAAATATATTTTTTTTAATAAAAAATTCAGACTCTCGGTCAGGAGGTCCATGAAAAAATTATTAAAAAAAATCACGATATTGACCGGGGGTTTTATGAAAAATTATTTCTAAAAATCCAAGAGGCCCATGGAAAAAATTTAAAAATCCACGAATTTTATTAAAAATCCACGAATTCTATTAAAAATCCACGAATTTTATTAAAAAATCGACGATTTTCGGCCGTGAGGTCATTGCAAGAATTATAAAAAAAATTAAATAAAATTTTTTAAATAAAAATTCGGACTCAGGAGGTCTATGAAAAAATTATTAAAAAAATCGCGATTTTGACCGGGGGCTTTATGAAAAATTATTTATAATAATCCAAGAGGTCCATGAAAAAATTTAAATAAACACGAATTTTATTAAAAATCCACGAATTTTATTAAAAAAAAAAAACAACGACTTACGGCCGTTGGGTCCATGCAAAAAATTAAAAAAAAATAGATATAATTTTTTATTAAAAAAATTCAGACTCTCGGCCGTGAGGTCCATGAAAAAAAAAACGAATTTTATTTAAAAATCCACGACCAAACCATGAAAAAATTATTAAAAAATATATATAATTTTTTATTAAAAAAATTCAGGCTCTCGGCCGTGAGTTCCATGGAAAAAACTATTAAAAAAATCACGATTTTGGCCGGGGGTTCTCTTTTATTTAAAAAATTAACGCCAAGAGGTTCATGAAAAAATTATTAAAAACCCCACGACTTTCGTTTATTTAAAAATCCACGACTATCAATTAGGAAATCCTTAAAAAAATATATTAAAAAATTTATGACTAGGTCAACTCATGACTTCGGTCCGGAGCTTTGTGAATTTTTTAAACATTTTTTTTTGTGTCCTTGAAAACATTTTTTCTACAAAATCCTCGAACTTGGACCAATTCTTAAAAAATTAACGATTTTGCTTCAAAAGACATTCTTTGGCATAAAAATTAAAAAAAAATCAAAGTTTTTTTTTACAAGAAATTCCTTGAAAAATATTTGGACTGTGTGGTGGAGGAACTAAAAGAAATGGAACGATATGAACCATTTTGGTTGGTAAGAATACGCTCCAGCTAGTCTGCTCATGCGCACTAGCCATCCCAACACACGAGCTATCAGATCATACATTCTTGGATGTGACATCTTTCAGGTCTACTATGCTTCTATTTATAGAAGACCTGACAGATGTTCTCTGGCATGAATACCTGATTATTCTATGAATGTCAGATCTCCTACATGAATAGACGACGCTTTACAGTTCTTCTATGAAGAAAATACCTTCAATCGGTACTCATTATGGGGTAGGCCTGTAACATGCCTTCTATGACTTAAATTTATGAATGGAGTGTTGTCCCAAAGTTAATTTCACACCCCCGCATCTTATCCCACAAAAATTTTGAATAGTACAAAATTGCCTATTTAGGCTAATCATTTTTTTTTGCTTTTGTTCAGCATTTCGACTTTGTACTCTGCCATTTGTATGCCAACAGCAACAACAATTGTCTGACTGACTGAATGTTTGACTCACCTTTAAATAACGACACATACGCTGCAGACGCTGGGTTTCTTCATGACTAGCCAAGGCTTCATTTAAATGGGCACGTTTTAATGCTGCCAAACTGGTGCACTCCTCGTCGTTGTCATCCGATGCAGCGGCGGCGGCAGCAGCGGCCGCTGCCATGCGCATTGCCTCCCGCGCATTGCCAATGAACGATTCATTCGAGGTGGCTTGACTTTTTTTGGTACCCAGGGAAGTTTTGTCAGCGCTGGCATCTATGCTGCGGGCTTCGTAGTGATGAGACACAGCTGTAAATAATGGAAGACGAACAAAAAAAAAAAAGAAGGAAGGGAAGAAAGAAAGAAACCAGATGAGAATGAGTTATCCAAGAGCTGTGTGAACTTAGAAGCAATAAGGAAGACGACGTCACTGGTCTGGTCTATAAAAAATAATAATATTTTCTAATAATTCGTGTTTAGGTTTTGAGATTTTTGCCAGCCGGCACGGCTTAGAAAAAACACACATTTCAGTTTCATTGGAGATGCATACAAAAGAAGCTTGCAGTAGAAGATGAAGAAGATTTCTTTTGTTTGCAAGAAGCTTTGTTGTTTTTAAATCAATGGTGGCGTTGGTGGCATACATTATTGATTGTTCACACGCAGAACGAAGCGGTGGTGGCGAAAGGAAAAACAAAAAGCCCCCATAGCGTCTAGAAACAAAAACAAATACAAAAAAGAAAAAAAACTTGATGCGCCATGAGGATAATCTTTAAAAGGCCAACAAGTAATGATGCCACTGGCTGGGTAGGCCCATTGATTCATTCATGATCGGAACTGAGTTGTGAAAAAAAAACAGTAAAGAAAGTCTTAAAGTCGGGCGGGACCGACTTTATGATACCCTACACCACTTGGCTAATTATAATTTAAAGTTCAAAGGACTAAATATGCCGAAGCATTTGTATCTTTTAAATTCGGACTTGTAATGCCCATTTGGTGCACAATTAATTTGAAATCGGATAAAAATATATATGGGAGCTATATCCAAATCGGAACCGATCTCGATAAAATTTGGCAAAGATATATCTGAGCTGTATTTGATATATTTCCCTGAATATCGTTGTTACGGAGTGCATACTACGGTTGTGGGTAACAAATATAACAAATCGGATGAACAGTATATATGGGAGCTATAGCTATATCTGAACCGATCTTAACCAAATTTGACATACTAACTTCTAGACTCAATTCGGTCGTAAGTGCCAAATTTCATCCAATTTGGGCAAATATTAGACGTTTGGTGCACAATCAAAGGTAAATCGGACGAAGTTATATATGGGAGCTATATCCAAAATCTGAACCGATCTCGATAAAATTTAGCAAATGTATTTCTGAGCTGTATTTGATATATTTCCCCAAATATTGTTGTTCCATAGTGCATATTACGGCGGCGGTGGACAAAAATAACAAATCGGATGAACAATATATATGGGAGCTATAGCTATATCTGAACCGATTTCGATAAAATTTGGCATACATATTTTCAGGCCTAATTTGGGTGTATATGCAAAATTCCATACAATTCGGACTGATATTACACGTTTGGTGCACAATAAAAGGCAAATCGGACGAAGATACATATGGGAGCTATATCTAAATTTTGACCGATTATTTCCAATTTCAATAGGGTTTGTCCTTAGGCCAAACAAATGCTTTGTGCAAAATTTCATGTGGATAGGACAATAAATGCGAACTGTACTTTTTTTTAAAAAAATACATGGACAGACGGACGGACTGACATGCATAAATCGACTCAGAATGTGATTCTATGCAGATCATCAAAATGAACTATGGGTCTATCTCGTTTCCTTTTGCCTGTTACAAACAAATGCACAAAGACATAATACCCTGACCACCTTGTATGTAGGGTATAAAAACAACAAAAGAAGATTTCAAAGTTGTTTCTATAGCCATTCTTCAGTTTTGTGTTTTTTTTTTTTTTTGCACACCAAATTATAATTAGGAACAAAGCATGATCATGCCGGCTTAACATTATTGTCATAATTTTCAATTATTATGTTGCTGTTGTTTTTGCTTGTTTTATTATTTTTTTTTTTTTTGTTTTCTTTTGGTCTACTCACCTTTATAATATTCGGCTTTGAGTGGCACCAGACCAGCCCAACATTCGGGCAAATATGTGTGTGTGTCGTTCAATTGAATATTTTTGTGCATTTCATTGTACTCTTGTGTTAATTGTGCTGCTTCGCCAGCTAAATCTTTGAAGAGCTGTGAGAATGGAAGAGAAAAAAATAAAATAAAAATCAATAAAATCGGAAATAAAAAAAGATTTATGTTATAAAAATAAAATGGGAAAAAAAATGTTCCTAATTTTTTCAAACAAAAGACTTAAGCAACGAACTTGGTTTTGATGACTGTGGCAAATTGGGGGGGAAAAATCATTTCCAAAAAGACCAGAATTCGGCTATATAGTTGAACCTGGTAAAAAAGCTATATAAAGACCATAAGCAAACTAATATGAACGAATTCGGATTTTTAAGGACTAACAAGGATGTTTTATAGGATTTTTATTCACGGAATATCAAGACTAAAGACATAGACTTCTATATAAAATGAACAAAAATTTTTCTTAGAAAAATAATTCTTTAAAAAATAATTGATTTAAAAAAATCTTCAAAAAATTTTTTTCATGGATTTTAAAAGGTATTTTCTCAATGATTTCCATTGTCAGGGACATACGCAGAAATAAGTTCGCAGGGGCCCAACTGCTGAAAAAAAATTAGTTTAAAAATACCTGTCGGTTTTTGTCAACAGATGTTAAGCCTCAGCCAATGTTCATTTATTTAAATATATTTGGACACGTTTTATGTTTTTAAACTACCTGATTTAATAATAATTTAATTTAATTTAATAATTTATTATTATTATTATTATTATTATTATTATTATTATTATTATTATTATTATTATTATTATTATTATTATAATTATTATTATTATTATTATTATTATTATTATTATAATTTATATTTAATTTAATAATTTAATTTAATAATAATTTTTGAAAAACTTTGAAATTTCTGTGTGATACCAGATACCGTCGATCAAAGTTTTCCACTCCATCGAATACTAATAAATACAGGGTGAGATGAAAAAACTTCAACCAAATTCAGACTGCTGTCATTTCTAAGCCACTTGTCCGACCGCTGTTAAAATTATTCCAGTGACAGCTAATTATATTGCTTACAAGCGTTCGAAAGCATTTTGGTGAGAATTTTCCAGAAAAAAATTTATTCGTGATGGAATTCAAGCGTGATAGTGAGATTTCTTTATATTTGTCGAGAAAACCACAAGTGGCTATCGGCACTCCAGCATTTAAATGTGAATACATTTGTGGAGTGGACGAAAATAAAAAAAAGCAACATCAGCAGAAATGGTTTGGAATGTAAAGAAGCGACTTGATCGACCCCGCGTCGCAGTGGCCGAAAAATGGCTTGTGAGCTGAACATATCGCAATATTGAAAAATTTAGCTCGGGGCAAAGCCAAAGCAAGAACTTATACCGCAACAAAAAGAAAATAGACTCAAAAGAGCTAAAGATTTGCTTCGCTTGGCCGAAAGTGGTGAACTGCCGAATTTGGTTTTCTCCGTTCCCGATGAGAAAACATTCGTTTTCCAGCAGTTTGTAAGCAAACAAAATGATCGTGTTAACTTGCCAAAGAGGTAAGATGAAAATGTGCACCTTCGGTTGGCCACCAGAACTCAAGCGCCGGCCATGGTGATGTTGTGGGCCACCATAACAGCTGATGGACACTCTCCGCTCGTATTAATCGACAGTGGCATCAGAATAAATGCCGAATGTTATCGCGAAAATATTCTGGGGTGTTTGGCTATTTTGGCCGCAGACCTCGGACATTCCAACAGGACTCAGCACCATCGCACTCAACACGCGCCACCCAAGAATGGTTATATTCTCATTTCCAGCGCACAATGGCCACCAAAATCTCCGGATACCAATCCGTTGGACTATTGTGTCTGGAGGAATTTGGGAAAGCAAGGTTGCCACCAAAAAATACCAAAGTATCGATCACCTCAAGCAAGCGCTTCGCCGGCAATGGGACAAAAAACCGCAGAGCAACATTCGGGCAGCGTGTGACGGTTTCATTGGCCGTTTGAAGGCCATAATTCGTGAAAAAGGTGACCAATTCGAACAAATCTAAACTTATTCTAAAATTTGATGATATTTAAAAAAGACGTAAAAATTTTTGCGTTTGACTTTGTTGTAGTTTTTTATCTCACCCTGTACACTGTGTACCGATATCCCTGAGGGTATACAAATCCACAATTATAACATGTAAGCTAAGGCTATAGGTGGCCATTTATTACCATGTGCGGTAAAGTTTTTGTAGACCTAAAAGCAATTTATCAAGAATGAACCAAAACCGTCAAGATATAGGTAGGCCTAAAATTCCTAATTCTTTTTCAGCATCAAAGATATTCGCGGTTGAATGCATATTTTGGTATTTTTCACAGAAAAGTTATGGTTAATTTGCCCCCTAAATATTTTTCGATGACCCAAATTAAGCTTTTGTCCTGTTCTAAACTCTACCCTGATACAACATGGTCTTTCGATCGGTTTATAAATGTCATATGTAGGGGGACTGCAAAATTGAAAATTGAATATGTTGCGATCATCTCCAACAATAATAAGCTTCTATTCTGACCCCAACTTCGTACAAAATTTTTGAGGATCGGGTCATAATTGTGGCATATAAAAAAAAAGACAGACGGGCTGGCGAACGAACGCACATAACTAGATCGACTCAGCTTGGAGAGATCGCGATATAACATTATGGGTGTAGAACCAACATTTCGAGGTGATACAAACGTTTGGCCCAATCTATAATACAAATTTTTCCCGACTCTTAAATATGTAGCTCAATTCATTAAATCTACGATCTTTTAAATAATTTTTTAAAGGTTCATAATAATTGAAGAAAATTTTCCTAAAAAATTGGAGTTCTTAGACTTTCTTGAGAAATTCCACAATCCGTTGAAATAACTTTTAAAAACATCTTCCGTTCTCAAAGCAAACATTTAAAAAATATATTTTATAAAAATATGTTGTTTCGTTAAAAATACGGTCTGGGTAGTTTCCGGAGCAACTTCAAAAAAAGTTGTTAATATACCCCTTATATAAAATTCCTATCCCTCTGCAAAAGGTTGCTACCGTTCTGACAGTCCTTCAATCATTAAGGAAGACATTTGTTATGCTTTTGGCAAGTATATATATATATATATATATATATATATATATATATATATATATATATATATATATATATATATATATATATATATATATATATATAAATTTCCACTCAAGAAATGCCCATATGCTATCTAACATGACATATAAAACAAAAGACTTAAGCTACAAGCACCATACAATAGATACATCTCTTTACAAACAGAAGACTTAAGCAACAAACTTTGCACACAACACCAAAATATGACTCCTCAATGCTCTGGAGAAACACTAGGCATCAAAGTACCCCATCGCTTCCTTTCTTCTTTTTTAAGGCGTTAGAAATCTGTCACATCATTTGCTGATGCCTTAACCAAAACGTTAATTAAAAAAGCGGCTTTCATAGACACCTTTGCAATGAACATGCCATATTTTACACCATGCCATGGGTGTGCACATATATCTAAACATATGTATGCATGTGTATATTTTGTTTTTCTTCAAATCGCATTTTGCCTCTCCGAAAAGAAGCAATGAACTTCAAAAAAACCCTTCCCAAAAAAAAAAAAAAAAAAAAAAAAAAACAAGTAAGCAAACGCTATAGTCGTGCGGGGCTGACCATTTGATACCCTACAACACTACAATATGTTCGAAGTCCCTTTATATTCAAATCCATTTTGCAAGATTTCGTTTTTGAAATAATGCCAAAGAGCCCTGCCCAGAGGTTACCCTTAGGTTTTTGACCCGGAGAATTTGGCCAATATTTACGCTCTCCGTAGTATTGTGAAGTATTCAAAACAATTGCAAACGAAAGTTGTGGTCCATTTTACAGCTAACTATAATCTAATGGTCATCCAAAATGCCAGACTTCTTCTCTGTCCTCAACTTTCTTCCGATGCGAAATTCCGTGTCGATTAGTTTTCAATTGTGGCCTATATAACGACTACAAAATTAGAAAATTTTAATTTTTTTTAGCCATTTAAACCTCTAAATGCACATCCTAAGAACGGCTTCGGCTTCAATTCCGACCCACCCTATGCAAAATTTCGTGAAGATCAAATTGCGACATACATATAATAACCTCAAAACGTAGTGTTGGGGGGTGTAAAAATTTAGAAAATTTAAAATTCAAAATTGTAAGTTAAATTGAAAAAATCGCAAAGCGATAAAAAAAAATATGACAAAAATGGAAAAAAATGAAACAAAAGATGTAACTACTTATTGGTATATTATCCCGCGATTTTCTTAGATTTTATCGTTTTCTGGCAAGAGACCATTCCGAATTGATGTGAATTGTGAAAATCGGCCCAGCTGTTCTTGATTTATAAGCAGAATAAATAAGATCAATTCTTTTACATATGTATTGTACCTATTTTGCTATATATCCGATTTCTTGGCTATTAGCATCACTGTAATGGTCAGAAGTGATCTTTTAATGTATTTGTGATTTGGCTGGGATTAAAAATATTCGCGGTTTAGTGGAAATTTTCTACATAAACTCTAACTCCATGTAAATTTTCGCGTCGATTGGTTAATAATTGTGGCCTATAGAGCAACTGCAAAATCAGGGAAATTTTCTGTTTTTGGTCCATTTCAACCCTTAAATATCGTGCGATCATCTCCAAAAACAATAGGGTTCTATTCTGACCCTAACCCCACCTCCATTTTCAATTTCGCAAGGATAGGTTCATAATTGCGACCTGTAGCTTGATTACAAATTAACATGGACAGACGGACGGACGGAAATACATAGCTAGATCGACTCAGCTCGGCGAGCTAGGAAGACCCATATATACTTTCCTATGTGGGAAACCAATATTTCAAACTTGTAATACCCCCAACACATAGTGTTGTAGGGTATAAAAATCTTCAAAGCAAAATTGTTGTTAAAAAAATTCAATTATTTCCTATCTCAAGTTTTGATTTCTTCTGCTTCTTCTGGATTACAACAAAAGGAAACAAGAAAATCATTGTTCAATACTTTTGTTTTGCCGCCTGTCAATCATCTGCCCTGGGTGAAAGCCAAGCTAGCAGTCAGCGTGAACATACGGCTATTACTGCCTGCATTGCATAATTCTTCATTCGTTACTTTCTTGCATATGGACGGCAGCGGCCAGCTACAAACTACAAAATGTGAACTGGAATTTATGAATTGGTGAACGCCTCTGAACAAAAAGGCGTGGCCACCATCCACATTGCATTGCACAAAAATGTTGGCAATGTAATAATGTAATTTAATATTGGCAGACTGATGCTGCTGTCGCTTTCTTTGAACCGGTCATTTTTTCGAGATAATGGCAGAAATAATTTAAAATCAAAGTCACAAAAGTGGGTTCTGAATAATATATTTTCAAGATCCTTGAAAAACGTAGTTCGCATTTTAGGGGAAATTTTTATTGCCTTTGAAGAATAAAAAAGTTTGTTTAAATTTTTAAATTATTTTTTGAACGAATAACCGTGAGTTTTGTAGGAATATTTTCTAAATACAGGGTTGCCCATATTCGACGGACCTTTGGGCCCTTTGGGCGGAAACAAATGCAAATCAATGCGAATAATCCGTTGTAAAGTGGACCGAGCCATGCCCAACTGCTGAGAACGGCGTTTTTGGGATGTTATTGGGGACCTCTCAACACTGGCTCGTACGGCCGCGATATTCTCGGCCGATCGCCTTGGTCGACTTTTATATGGCCTCTTCGGATTAGAAAGAGCCTTACCAGTCGAAAATTTTTCGCATAAACGCTTAATGGTGTTCTTAGAAGGCGCACTTCTCACATTTTTTAATGTTTTAAAAGCACGTTGAGTTTTCACAATTGACTTCTTGTAAATTTCAACTATTTCGCGTGGCGTGTATTGGTTCATGGTAAAAATCTGCTTGGACTGACGCTTCAAACGCGGTACGTCATTAAGCGATGTGACATCTCTGTCAAAAGTTATGGCGTTGCCAAATGGGTCCGTCGAATATGGGCAACCCTGTACTGACGGATAGTGATTTGTTCAGTTTTTGTTTTGAATATCATCCAGGATAATTAATTTCAATTTTTAAATTTTTTATACCCTACACCAAATAGTGGTAAGGGTATTATGCTCTTGTGCATTTGTTTGTAACATGGAGAAGGAAGCGAGATAGGCCCATAATTACTTTTGAGGATCTTCATAGATTCATTTTCTGAGTCGATTTCTGCATGTCTACGTATACTTATGAATAAAATGGAGGTCGCATTTATTACCCGATTGAGATGAATTTTTCCAATCAATATTTGTTTGGCCCCAGGACGAAAATTGGTGATAATCGGATCAGATTTAAATATAGCTACTATATACATGATCAACCGATTTCGGGTTAATTGGATTAATTAATCCAAATGACCTGCATTTTTGTACATTCGACCGAATTCAGTCTAGAAGCAAGTACATCAAATTTGGAGAAAATCGGTTCAGATATAGCTATAGCTCCCATATATATGTTTCAATTGATTTTGGGTTTTAAAATCCCTCACATGCGTAATATACACTCCAGAAGAATGATATTTGGTACCGGACATCAGATACTGCTCAAAAATACTTTTGTCAAATTTTATCGAGATCGGCTCAGATTAGGATCATTATCGGATATCAGGTTTATTGTGCATCAAATGGCTAATATCAGCCCAAACGGACTGAATTTTGGCAAGTACGACTGAATTCATCCTAGAAACCAGTACTTAAAATTTGGTTCAGATATAGTAAATCGGTTCAGATATAGCTATAGCTTCCACATATAAATGTTTTATCCGATTTGGGCTTTAAAGTTCCTTTTATTCAAATTTTATTTTTATACCCTTCGCCATTTGGCTAGAGGGGGTATATATCATTTGATAAGATCAAAACGTGCCTCATCGAAATAACGGTTTAAGACCCTAGGTCTCGTCCGTCTATCTGGATGGCTGAAGAGAATATCAGGTTTAGTTCAAATTTGGTACATTGTATTATTATAGAACTTAAATCGAGTTCGAAGATGGGCAATATCGATCTACTCCTTCTGGTACCTACTCTATAAAAAATCGACATTTTCGGAAAAAAAAAATACAGTACAGAAAGAGAAAGGATGAACTGATTTTGCTCCAACTGTGCAAATCCTAATATTTGCATCAGTTCTAGAAGCTCAGAAAATGCGACATTAATATCCGATTCCATTCAAGACTTGGTACATCTCAATATTTCCATCAACAGAAGATCTGTTATAAAGATGATAGAGATCGGAACATTTCTTCTGGTACCTGCCAAAGCCATTTATATCTGAAATAATCGGAAAGCTGGGATGGCTTTCGGAAACGATAATATTATTTGGAATCCAGCTCAATGAAAAAACGTTTTATTCTGGGATGAATCTACGTTTAATATTAAAGTCTCAGGCATGAAAAATTTTACGGTGAGAAGACCAAGAAAATGAAAGACTCAAGCCGCAGTGTTGCAAGGGTACAGTGAAGCATGAGGGAGGGTTAAAAATGGTGTGGCGCTGTTTTTCTTTCTATGGACTTGGACCTATCCATGAAATAAAAGAAGTTATGGATCGGTTTGTTTACAAAGATGTGTTGAACATTACGTTGTTTCCTTCCGCTTAGGAAAATATTCGGCTTATTTGGGTGTTTCAGCATGACAATGATCCCAAACATGCATCAACGGGTTGCGGGAGTCAAAAATCGGTGTTTTGTCATGGCCGGCAAAATCATCTGACCTAAACTTCATATAAAACCTTTGGAGTATCGTAGACAGGATGGTCAAGCGAGATTCGGAAAGAAATAAACACAACATTTTCCAAAGAATTCAGGGTGCCTGGAAAAGCATACCCAAGGATCAAATTGAGCGTGTTATAGATTCAATGCCTCGTATGGGTGCAGCTGCTATCAAAAATAATAAATGCTATCGGCTACTAGCCAAAATTTAATTATTTTAAAATAAAAAAATCAAAAAGTTGCTTTAGTTTTGACCAAGCAAAAATTGGGTCATTTTAGTTTTCCGTACATTATTTTTCATTCAATATTATTATTGTATTCTTATTTTTAGTTTTTTAAAAGTGAACAAAGCACCTCATTTAAAACTGGAAAAATAATTACGATTTGTTTATTTTTGTAAAAGTTACAGGGCATTTATTATCTTTTCGATTTTAGTTGCTTTAGTTTGGCCACCAGTGTTTATCTGTCGGCAAAACCGACTGATACTTTTTTTCTTGTTTTTAATTATTTTTTTTTTAATCTTTAAATTAAATATTTTTTTCGAGTTCGTTTCTTAAGTCTTTTGTTTTTTCGAATTATTTTTTTTTATTCATTTCCAATCAATTACTTACATGACTTGAATCCTTAATACCCAATGACTCGATTTGCAATTGCAGCTTCTCGAACAGACATTCACGAGCTTGTGACAACATTAACGAAACTAAGACATCTAAGACTTGCGGTTTCAAATCCATCGAAGGGGCATTGGTGAAGGTGTCGTAAATGTGACGAAATATACCGGCAGCACGTAGAAAACTATCGACGGCGGCATCTAGACCCTTTTCTGTTGTACGATCGTGACGCGCACCGATTTGTGTATAGATGGCACCCAAATTGAAGAGGGTGCAGGCCTTCTCAAAGGCAATGGTGCGCTGGCAAGATGGTACACCTTCAAGGGGGGGAAGAAAACATTAATGTCATCCATACATGTGAGGAATGCCTACACTTACCTGTCAAGGAATCATACCACTCAAAATAGACACCCAAATTGCGATCGGGTGGAAAGAAGCGTCTTTCAACGTAATACAATAGATTGTAGTAGCGAAAGAGTAGAGCGACACCCTGGCTGTCGCGTGAGGGGGTTTTGGAGGCCTAAAACAAATTCAAGGGAAAATTTAATAAAATTTAAATTTCAGAATTAACATTTTAAGATGTAGTCACAAACCTGTCTAGTATCGGTTATATCGGCAATAGCATCCGTATACTGTGATGGTTCCTCGCTATAGTGTTCAAGTATAAAATCGGAAAACGGTTCCATAAAATCAATTTCTTTTGTTTCTTTTAGGCCTAGGGGTATCATGGGCATTACACCATCTTGACTGGAATGAAGAAGAGAAAAGAGAGGAAAAAATAAAAATTAGAAGTTTTTCAAATTTCATTCAATTATATATCCCCCCCCCCCTGCTCTCTTACGGACTTGAATCTCTCTCTCTGTAGTTTGCAAATTAAATTAGATGGCAATCTATCTTGGAATTCCTGAATTCTTCTGAAGTTTGACTAGCTACCCAACAAGAGCGTGAAACGAAAAAAAAACTTTGAAACAATTAAAATTTATAGCTGTCATAACTTTTCACGAAGCATAAAAATGAGACTTATTACTGGGAATTCTTTGTTATTATTGTTGTATCATTGTTTCCAGCAGCAGCAGCAGTAGGAGTAGTAGTTGTTGTTTTTTTTTGTTTGATGTTCATTTGCATTAGCATGAAATAAATTAGCTTGCTGATTTATGAAGATGTTAGCTAAGATATGACAGCCCAACATGGCTCAGTTTATTAAGAATTTATTAGACAGTTGGGGAATTTATGAATAGAACTTAAATGTAAATTGTACAATGGTACAAAAACGTACCAAAGTGTACATCATTCGTATTAAAACCTTTTGCATCTGACTGAAAAATAGTCCACATGTCCCGGTGCTTTTTTTATTATTGTCCTCTTATTTTTTATACCCTCAGCCACATTGCTACAGAGGTCATATATAACATTTGATATGGCCAAAAATGCCTCATCGAAATAACGGCTTCTTTGGACAAAATTCGTTTCAGGACATTTGGAGACGATCCGATGTCCGTCCGTCTGGTTGGCTGGCTGTTGCTCACGATAACTCTCGAAGGGAGTATCTGGTTTGATTCAAACGTGGTACATCGCAATATTATTGTCAAACTTAGATCGAATTCGGAGATGGGCAATATCGGTCCACTCCTTCTGGTACCTCCCCCACAAAATGTCAACATTTTCAAAAAAAACAAAAAAAAAAAAAAAACGAGTTAAAAACCAGTAAGTTCGGCCGGGTCAAACTTTGGATATCCTCCACCATTTGGAACGAATTAGGAAATTTAAAAAAAATAAAATCCTTAAAAAATTCTGTTAAATTTTAAAAATACCGAATATTGCCGTTATATTGTTGTCTACGACGTGGACCTACATAGGCATTGTTTGCCATTAGCCATTACCATATTCAAATTCCAAATTTGAAATAAACGGTGAATAATGTATCTAAAATCATCAAATTATCGCATATAGGGAGGTACCATTGTATCGGAGCTGGACCAGCATATACAATTTTCTGTCACAGGCTATAGCATCCATTACTAACGTCAAATACGATATATCAAACAATTTCGGTTGGGTATTGTACCTAAACTCGTCAAATTACCGAATATTGGGAGGTACTGATATATGAGGCCTATACGAAGACCTGGACCTGCATAGACATTTTTCTGTCACAGACTGTAGTTCCCATTACGAACTCTAAATACGTAATTTGAAACAATTCCGGTGAATAATGGCGCTAAAATCATCAAAATACCGAATTTTGGGAGGTACCGTTATATGGGGGCTATACGAAGACGTGGACCTGCGAATCTCAAATACTAAATTTGAAACAATTCCGGTGAATAATGTCGCTAATATCATCAAAATACCGAATATCAGGAGGTACCGTTATATGGGGGCTATACGAAGACGTGGACCTGCCCAGATAATTTTCTGTCATAGGCTGTAGTATCCATTTTGAACTTCAAATACCAAAGTTGAAACAACTCCGGTGAATAATGTCGCTAAAATCATCAAAATACCGAATATCGGGAGGTACCTTTATATGGGGGCTATATGAAAAATATACATGTGCAAAATTTTAGCCTTCTATCTCAATTCCTTCATAAGATGGCGTGATTACAACAGACAGACGGACAGAGAGACAGACAGACAGACGGATATGGCTAAATCGACTTAGAATTTTACCCTGATCAAGAATATATGTACTTTGTTGGGTCTGACATGAGTATTTCGAGGAGTTACAAACGGAATGACAAAGTTAATATAATAATACTTTACATAGAAAGAGAAAGCATAATTCGATTTTGCTCCAACGTTGCAAATCCTAATATTTGCGTCAGTTCTAGATCAGGTGCGAAAGTGGAAAATATCGGTTCACTCCATCAAGTACCTTCCCCACAAAGAGTCAACATTTTGAATAATTACAACTCTTATAAAATGTAATGTAAGAGTCCGATTGTCTCCAAATTACACACATCACAATATTTTTATTAACCTATTATATCGGCCCATTCCTTCTGGTACCTCTTCCAAAGGATCAAAATTTTGAGTAACCATGAATATCATAAAACCGGAAATTGACATCGGATTCCATTCAAACTTGGTACATCTCAATATTTCCATTAAAACAAGATATGTTTTAAAGATGGTAGAAATCGGACCATTCCTTCTGGTGCCTCCCCCACAAAGGGTCAAAGTTTGGAATAACAAAAACGATCATAAAATCCGAAATAAGCATCGGATTCTCTTCAAATTAAATAGATAACAATATTTTTATTTACCCAAGGTCTGGTGTGAAGATGGTACCTCCCCCACAAACGGCCAAAATTTTGGATATTAACGCGAAATAACAATCCGATTCCATTCCAGACTTGGTACATCTGAATATTTCCATCAACACATGATCTGTTACAAAGATGGTAGAGATCGGGCCATTTTTTCTCGTACCGCCCCCACATAGGGTTCAAGATACAGCAAAACGCTCAAAGTAAGTGAAATAAGCATCCAACTCTCTTCAAATTTTACACATCCAAATATTTTTGCTAACGCAAGATCCGTTGTGAAGATGATGTATATCTGCGCAACCCTTCTGATACCTAACCTGCAAAGAGTCACAATTTTCAATACTTTTATCTGTCATAACTTGCGAAACAAGTTGGCGATTCTTTACAACTTGCTATATTAAAATATTTATCTTAACCAGATACCTGATATGAATATGAAATTAATCGAAATTTATCATTTCGCATAAAATTGGATATAAATGTTCGATTTTCTTCAAATTTTGCCCATAATAATATTTTTATCTGTATTAGAAGAAGAAGAATGGAATACTTAGGTCCGCTATATCTGTTACCTCACGCATATTTCCACATTTTACAGAAATTTGTTCATATCTTAGTAGTCGATATCTGGCACATTGTAATATTTATATCAGTCTTAGGTCAGATACGAATTGATCAATATTGGCTAACTGCTTAAGAACCTCCCCCATAAAGGGCCAACAGTCTGAATAGTAAAAACCCAAGGCTGGGGGTATACATCTGTTGGCATAACCGACTGATACTATTTTACTTGTTAGTATAGAAATTGTGCCTAAATTATGAATTTCAAAGTTTCTTTCCTAAGTCTTTTGTTTTTGTTTTTTCTTGATTCGCCAAAAAATACTTGAATTTTTTCCGAAAATTCTTAATTATTTCATTACCACTCAATTTTAAACAATGATATTGCGAAATATATTTCATAAGATTAAAAAAAAATACTAAAATTGAGAACTTCTTCCATTAGTTGTGCCCTCAAATCATTCCCAACCTCAATAAAAGGTTTTGAATCAATCGAAAATGTGACAAGTCATTGTCAATGTGAACATCATTTATTTGAAGTAGAATGGAGCAGAATTAAAAGAGGCCATAATTGAAAATGAAGAAAAACATTTTCTATCAGAGGAAATAAGAATTTGCCACAGTATTGGTGCCACCGACACCGGGGTTAAGCCTAGCTGGAAGTTTTTTGTGACTTATTTCTCTTGATTGTGGAAGGGTTGCAAAAACTCTATCTTATTCTATTTTCTTTTACTCTGTTGAGAATCACATTATTTTTTGAGAGAATTAAAAAATCAACTAAAAGAAATGCCGAACACGTTAATAAGTATCAGTCGGTTTTGCCGACCGATGTATACCCTCAGCCAATGTTCGATTATTTAAATATAATTTAACTTCTTTAACCTTCTGAAGCTCTTTTATGGCTAGAAGACCTTTTGAAGCTCTTCTATAGCTAGAAGAGCTTCTGAAGCCATTATATGGCTCGAAGACCTTCAGAAGCTCTTCTAGCTATAGAAGAGCTTCAAAAGGTCTTCTAGCCATAAAAGAGCTTCAGAAGGTCTTCTAGCTATAGACGAGCTTCCTTGGAACCTACTCCATAGAGTGTCGAACATTTGAAAAATCATAATAGAAGTTAAAATATATTTAAATAATCGAACATTGGCTGAGGGTATACATCGGTCGGCAAAACCGACCTACCTATACCGACCTATAGCTCGAAGACCTTCTAAAGCTCTTCTATAGCTCGAAGACCTTCTGAAGCTCTTCTATAGCTAGAAGACCTTCTGAAGCTCTTCTATAGCTAGAAGACCTTCTGAAGCTCTTCTATAGCTAGAAGACCTTGTGAAGCTCTTCTACAGCTAGAAGACCTTCTGAAGCTCTTCTATAGCTAGAAGACTTTCTGAAGCTCTTCTATAGCTAGAAGACCTTCTGAAGCTCTTCTATGGCTAGAAAACTTTTTGAAGCTCTTCTATGGGTAGAAGACTTTCTGAAGCCCTTCTATAGCTAAAAGACCTTCTGAAGCCCTTCTATAGCTAAAAGACCTTCTGAAGTCCTTCTATAGCTAAAAGACCTTTTGAAGCTCTTCTATGGCTAGAAGACCTTTTGAAGCTCTTTTATGGCTAGAAGACCTTCTGAAGCTCTTCTATGGCTAGAAGACCTTCTGAAGCTCTTCTATGTCTACAAGACCTTCTGAAGCCATTCTATGGCTCGAAGACCTTCTGAAGCTCTTCTATGGCTAGAAAACTTTTTGAAGCTCTTCTATGGGTAGAAGACTTTCTGAAGCCCTTCTATAGCTAAAATACCTTCTGAAGCCCTTCTATAGCTAAAAGACCTTCTGAAGTCCTTCTATAGCTAAAAGACCTTTTGAAGCTCTTCTATGGCTAGAAGACCTTTTGAAGCTCTTTTATGGCTAGAAGACCTTCTGAAGCTCTTCTATGGCTA